ACACAGAAATGGGAACAGTGGGCAGCCTTTACGCACACCAGCTGTTACCAGTTCAGATAACAACCCCCCGTAAGCTCTCACCTGGCTGGCTGGCTGCATGAGTTCGAGTAGAGTGCCTTGATCAGCGCAATGCATTTTCTTGGCATTCCCTTTATAGCCAAATATTGCCAGAGTACCACCTCTTGATTGACAGAAGCAAATGCCACCTTTAATGTTAGTTAATTTATGTAGGTGGATTTCTTTGATTGGAAACTAGTAACTAGTGCGATGTGTCTAGTCCTTTCTTCGGTGCAGACTGAATTCCATCTGTCAGTTCCTTCAAAGTTGCTGACTAGTGAGCGCCAACTAGCACGAAACCTAGGTCAGGTAGGGTTTCCTACTGGTTGTCTCCAACCATTTAATATCATCCAATTGATGGACTTCTGTCCATTATGATGCATGCTAATGACAGAAATTTGAATACAGTATATTGTGTGTTTGACGTACTTTGAAAAAATATCTTCAATAGTCAAAGAAGGGATTAAGTTGAGAATGAAGAAAACTGTGAACCAGTACAGAAAGCGTGAAACGAAGGCGAGAAAAGTAAAAATTTCAGTGATTGGTAGAAATTCGGCAGACATATTCTGAACCTAAATAGATCCGTATTAACACTTTCGATTGTGCGTCGGTAGTATAGCGGTTAGGACGCTCGCCGACCATCTACATGGTCCCGGGTTCGACCCCCGGCCAGCGCACTCCTTAACCTCACTGAGCCAGAAATACTGCTGGTAAAAAGGAAAGGTTGGGCATGAGGCTAGCAACCCCATCCTGTAAAAATTGAACACTTCTACAGAAACTTTAAGCCACTAGCTTGGAGCCCTATGTTCCACTGGGGAACGTGAAGGAAAAATTATATTAACATTTCTGATTACAGCACTGAGTAGTATGAGTTGTAGTCTCGGAATGAATATTGGTTCTTATAAGATTTCAAATGCCTAACAAAAGAGTCAGCTACTGAGTACAGATTCCAGGTCGAGGATTTCTTTCTTTTAACCTCCAACCGGCCTAACATTGATTCAGAAAGCGCACCTCAGAGGTTAGCCATTTGACTTAATGATCATCTAGAAGACTTGACTGGTAGAGTTCACTCAGAAGTGAGAGTAGGGACTAGGTATATGATACTGGTCATTAACAAGTAACCAATCAATGTGTTAGTTGTACGGCATGTAAACAGTTCTCCTCTAATTCTGCATTTATTAAATTCACTTTTGACCCATTTAGCTTTTTCAATTTCAACGTTGAGCACAGTGCTTTAGCATAGTGTTATTTACGTTCATGCTGAAATCATATATGGTGGTTTGTAGGATAAGGAAATTGTTCAAGTGAAGAAATTATTCAGGAAATGCATTCTATTCATTGTTCGTTTATTCTACTTTATTCATAGTGTGGTGAGATCTGTCTGCTAGCCAAATAGGTAGACAGCAATTTACGTCAATTTTTACGTCGCAAATCTTGGTCATGAGAAAAAACAAGAACAAAGGCTAACCTATAGGGACTCAACAACCGATCACAGTAGACTTAGAGTGGGCAGATACGATTCGCAGATATATTAACGGACTGTCTAAGAAACGGCAACAAAGAGATGACAGAACAACCTTCAGAAGGAAAATAACCAATCAGGAGACGTTGTTTCTAAGCTAATAATAACGAATAATAATGTACATAAAAATACATAAATATCTCTTTATTTTACTCAATAAACGATCTGTTGCAAGGCCCTTGCATTCTCTCGTTACAATAGTAATAAATAGAGTGATAACATCTTAAACACTGATAACGTATCTCCAAGTACATTAAATCCACAATTTGCAACGTACACAGTTCGAGGGGGTGCAATTTTCACCACAGTTTCTTATGGAAACTAGAATTATTCCGATCACAGTATATGCTGTGCTTGATAACATGAATGATGATCTAGAAAACAAGCACATTCACATAAAGTTATATACTACTGACTGATTAGGATGAGTAGTTGTACACCACTCATATCAGCCAGTAGTGCTTGCTAGACAACGCCGGATGAGTGTTTCATCTGTTTAGAGCCCAGCAAATCAGTAGTGTATCCGATTCGACTCAGCATAGAAAGCCGAATCAATTCACATCACACAATTCCCCAAGTACTGACTTGTAGAGACTTGAATTTGTTGTAGTTTTGCATCATGAAATGACAACTGTTATGGGATCTCTGGAAATCTTGAAGTGCTGAACAGTTGTTGCGTCCCAGCTTCAGCCCCTTCATCAGTACATGCCCATACCCTCATTAGCGGTACCAAACTAGGAGGAAATAGATGTTTAGTGTCCTTTATTTTTTTCAGTGATTCTCTAATTAATTACGGTACGTGATGAAGTCAAACAGTCTTTGAAAGGATCTTTTTCCAGAATATTGACTTAGTCACTGACTGACTGCCTGATGATTCGTTTAAAGCATAATTTATTATTACTTATTTTATTTTACCGCTTTGCTTTCCAAGCGGAATAGCAGTAGTGTTTATTTTTTCCTTTTCCGGGATTGGGATGCTAGCCTCATGTCCAAACTCTCCTGCCTACTGGCTAGCAGCGGTCTAGCAGTACGTCAGCTGGGGATAGAACCCTGGACCAAGTGAACTGTGGTTGACAAGTATTCTACAACTGAACCACCGACGCACTGTTTAGAGCATAAACCGTTTGAATTTACACATTTCATCTCTTCATTTCGAGTCATTTTAGTTATGTAAATTCAGTCTATTTGAAGCCGTGGACTCAGATTTTGTGGCGACTATCACTCTTCAGCTTAGTGGTTAGATATTTGACTGCGGTACTGCGTGACGTAGGCTCCAATTTTGTGAGGCAACCAATTCCTTTCACGGCTGAAAATAGGCCACGCTGACGAGTTTTAATGAACATGAATCATAGGTCTAGGGTTTCACACCGAAGGCTTGCAAACATTAAACAACAAACGTTAACCCCTGTATTATTATTTATTACTATTGCTCCCTTGGGTTCCTAGTGGAACATAGGGCTTCAACTGCGCGTCTCCATTTGCTTCTGTCTTCTGCTGTACTTTTCGCCTGCATCCATGTTAGTCCATACTGTTCCAACTCCTCTTCACACGATCTCCTCCATGTCACCCTTGGACGTCCAACACGCCGCTTCCCTTTCGGGTTCCACTCGAGGGCTTGACGCGCGATGTCACCAAGCGGTCTCCTCAGCGAGCGAGTGTCCGACCCATCTCCACTTTCTCCTGCATATTTGTTGGGCGATTGGTTCTTGCTTTGTTTGTTCCCATAATTCCTTGTTGGTGATTCTTTCCGGCCATCTGATCTTCAGTATTGAGCGAAGACAGTTGTTAATAAAGGTCTGCAACCTTTTGGAAATATTCGTTGTGACCCAAGTTTCTGATCCGTATAGAAGAACTGACTGACTTGACGTTTGTATTGAAAATCCGAGTTTTGTTGTTGATGTGCTGAGTGACGAAGATTTCCAGATTGATTTCAGGCTGATGAATGTGTTTCTCGCCTTCCCGATTCTCGCTCGATTTGACATCCTCGTCCGCTCCTCCTGTAGTTGAGACAATGCTCCCTAGATAAGTGAATGAAGTAACCTCTTTCAAATCCTTCCCGTTGATGGAGATTGACGCTAGATGTTGTTGTTGGTTGGTTATTTTCATAACCTCCGTCTTGTCTATGTTTATCTGGAGTCCTGTCTGCTGCTTCTTCGACCAGTTTGTCGGTTTTCGCTTGTAAGTCTTCGATTGTGTGTGACATCAAACATAAATGATCCACGCGCGAAATCCAGGTCTTCTAGGTTCTTCACGTCGGTCCAGGATATTCCTGTCTTCTCGTTTCCCACTGTCTGACGCATAATCCAGTCCACCACAATTAGGAATATCATTGGTGATAATAGGCAGCCAGCCTTGTCTGACTCCTGTGTTTACTCCAAACGCCTCGCTGAGTTTTCCGTTGTGGATCACTTAGCAGGTGCCTTTGTCGTACAGCTGTTGAATAAGGTTGATGAATATTTGGGGCACTGTACGCCGTTGTACCCCAGTAATTTCCAAATTACTTCACGATCAACGCTGTCGAAGGCCTTCTCAAAGTCTATAAAGTTGAGGTAGAGGTTTGACTTCCGTTCCATGCTTTGTTCTGTGATGATGATGCGTAGAGTTGCAATTTGGTCAGAATATGATTTGTCTGACTTTCCTGAATCCAGCTTGTTCTGGTCGGAGTTCTGTCTCCAGTGCGTCCTTTAATCTCTCTAGGATGATGCGACTCAGGATTTTACTTGGTGTCGATAGGAGCATGATTCCTCGCCAGTTCTTGCAGAGTGAGGCGTAAGTCGCCCTTCTTTGGTAGTTTCACGAGGTAACCTTTCCTCCAGTCAGTAGGCACCTTTCCCTCCTTCCAGACCGTTTGCAATAATGGAGTCAGCATGTTTGCTGTCGTCTCTGGGTCTGCTTTCAGTGCTTCAGGGGGTATTCCATCTGGTCCGGTTGTTTTTCCAGCTTTCAGAAGTTTGATTGCGTTCAAGACTTCAGCTCTCGTTGGAGGATTGGTGTCAACTTGCAGTTGTACGCGCGCTGTTGTTGGTATTTCTGGACGGGTGTCAGGTGGTGGTCGGTTCAAGAGTCTTTTGAAGTGATCCGCCCATTGTTTAATCTGTTTTTCTTCCTTGGTAATTGGGTTCCCTTGGCTGTCTTTTATAGGTTTCGCTTGTGTTGGTCTCTTCCCGGATAGAGATTTGGTTATCTGATACTAGCTTGCTAGGCTACTAGCTTACTAGTTCTCTCGCCGGTCCCAAGCCCGGGTAAAGAGGGAGGGTTGGGGCGTGGTGCTAGCAACTCCACCCCTGTAAAACAACCAAATCGCTACAGAAACTTCAACGAATAAATATATTAAAAATTCTAACCCCTGTACCTAAAAGAAATAAACCAATCGATAATCGTGTTTAAAAAAGCGAAGGTTATTTTAACTGAAACAACTTACTTCTTCAAGTCTAGCAGGATTTTTAGAATTCATTATATACGGTACAATTGAGGTTGGCAAATTATTCTCACTAGAGTGTTCATGATGGTGATGATGATGATGTTGATGTTGATGGGGATGTTGAAAATGAATAGGAGGACTAGGTGTAGGGACAAAAATAGAAGGATTATTACTGTTATTCTCAGAAGTATTCGACTGGAGTTTTCCAGTACTTTTATCATCTCCACTCCTTATTTCATCAATTCCTGACGATGCAACTGATAATGATACCAGTGGAGATGCCGTTGATGATGAAGAATTAACCACTGAAGTAGATACAGACATTGTACCGACTGAGGTAGACAAACTGTTATTTGTACTGATTCCACTGATTTTTGTTGTTATATGCCCATCAGTAATATGTGTTGTTGTTGTTGTTGTCGAGTTAGGAAGTGTAGTCACCGCGGGCAGTACATGATCTAATTCAATAGGTCTTGTTGCAATATGTATCCCAGATGAATCTGCTTTCTTTGGAACAGATGAAGAGGAACACGTCGTCATCTCTGAGTTATTGCTGTTATTGCATACACCATGTGTATTACTTCCACCGCTACCGTGCGGTGTGGTTGTTATCATGGATGAAGGGCTATTCAGTGGATCATTTTCTTTAGAGTCTAAAAATGTTGAGAAGATATATTCTGAAATTTGTTTGCCGCTTTGACCACCATCAGCGAATTGGCTCAATTCTTTGTTTAACATCTTTTTAAACTATTTTTTAAAAAGAAGGTAAAGAAATAATGATAATTAAAAATGAACAAAGATATTGGAACATTTAACACTTTAAGGAGTAGTAATTTAAACGCCAACTATTTATTATATGCCTCTGGTTGTTAAATAGCGTTACGATGCATCCTGGACTACCAGTGGCTTAGTGGTGTTCAAATATGAGTGGAAACTCCCTTTCACTCGTTAGGGGTGCAGTTGTCGTGAGAGTTGTCTGCTAGCCATATTCGGTAGACAGCAATTTACGTCAATGTTTACTTCCTAAATCTTGGTCATGAGAAAAAAACAATAACAAAGACTTTGCGTGGACGGATACGATTCGCGGATATATGATCTGACTATCAAGGAAACGGCCACAAAGAGATGACAGATTAACTTCCCATGAGAAAACAAACAATCAGAAGACGCTGTTTCTCTTCTTAGTAATAACGAATAATAATGTACATAAAAATATATATAAATATCTCTTGATTTCCTCAATAAACGATCTGTTGCCTGGCCCTTGTCTTCGGTCGTTACACAGGGCCATTTAGCTGACAAGTCTTAAACTGAACGAAATCAACGCACATCCTGAATTCTACGGCTGACTGCCATCAACCAAAAAACAACATATCATCAAGTCTCTAAATAACACTACTTGGTATTATGGAGTCAAGATAACATGACTGAAATAACGTCACCTATTGTTATTAACTCAATGAGAGATATTCAAAAGTTTGTTATTTCATGTAAACAGTCTGTATTATAATAATAAATAAACTTTTTGAATAATAACCTGTCTTCCAAGAGTTGGTTTGTAAGGATTGGATTTGTTTTTACGGGTTTGACCACGGATTAATATCATTTAGAGAACCATTGAAAACCAGGGAGTGCTGGACAGCTGTTTTATTTGAGTTTGGGAATCATCGGCAGTACGGACCCACTGCCAGAGTTCTAACGTGGGACCTTCCGGTTACAAGGGAAGCTCTTATACCATTCCGTGCATTCCAAAAGTTCTAGTGTGAAATTGTGGTGAGTGAGGTTAATCCAGTTAAGCGTGAGGATGGATGTCTCACAGATGATATTGGTTGGTGGTCGCACTAAATCACGAATTGGTAGAAGTTAGAATTCGTGAGCCATTGAAACGGATCCCAGTGGCTGAATAGTATACGAGCTTGCTTTGAAATCGGAAGGTCCTGGTTTTCAATGGTTCTCTAACTGATATCAATCCATGGTCAAATACATAAAACAAATCTGTCTTCTACCTATTCTCTAGGTATCTACTGTAGCGTGGGTTCAGAAAATGCGATTGAGTATGAACTTAAGGTCATACATTACACTTCAGTGGAAAACAGCTACCCTGAATACGACTACAATTCAAAGGCCATGGAAATAATAACCACGAACAACTTGAGAAAATCAGTTCACAGCATACTTAATGCCAGTTAGTTGCAACTTACATTTTCTACACAACTAGTTGGAATGAAGTATTTAGGCTAACCACCTCTAATTGTAACTATCAGTTCAACTGCTCCTTTGAAGTCAGTTATATTGGCCTCTAGTTGCTGTATGAACCTAATTTTTCATACTAGGAAACACCTGTCAGCGTTGTTAAAACGGTCAACAGTTCTATACTGTATCACCTCGTCCAAGCCGGTCATAAAGTTGACATTGAAGAGTGTTTCTTTATTATCTATCGGGTATCGAATAAACTACAAAAGACCTCTAGATATTGAACACTGCAAACACCAGAGAGCATTGCTATTCACTTAAATCGACCGGAGCTATATATGCAAAAGAAACAGGTCCAGTCAGCTACTACTGCTACCCTGGCCTGCTGTCGAGCCTATAAATACATAAATTCTGTGTTACATCCCTTAATTTATATGATATTCAGCCGGTTTAGTGTTGTGTTAATGCCCATTATCTCTCGCTTACTGATGATTTTGAAATGTAATCGATCGATTCTAAATACTGATTCAGTGTGGCTTAAAATGACATTAATGTGATTCTTTCATTATTACGGTCAACTAAATCACGAAACTGATGAAGAAGAAGCTATCGGAAATCTGAATATTCTTTGTCCATCAATCAGTCTTTGAAATTTTTAATGAGTATTCATAAATGAATTAATTTACACTTGATTATGATACAGTTGCTTTATTAAGAGTGTGATAACAAAACTTCTTATAAGTCTAGAGGAGGTGTTTCTGAGATTTGCCAGTTGACTTCTATAGATAACATTTATCAAATCAAGTAACACGGTAAATAAAAGTAACCATATCAATACTGATAAAAACTAGTGGTGTTCAACTGAGTGTGACTCGTGAATTACCATTAAATGAATGTATGTAGATAGTTTTAATGACTAAACATACTGTGACGAGTGCTACTGATAAGATTTTTCATTAGTATATAAATTAGACGTCCATCGGCTGGCATAAAAACATCAAATAACAAGGAGATACATTCGATTTCCGAGAAGGCAAATAATACAGAGTTGTGGAGATATATTGGGGGACATGAAAGGAACACAAATAAAGACAATATGAAGGAAGGCCAGAAATAGCACAAAAAGAAGTCCTGGGCAAATGGGGCGTTAAAGATAAGGTTTAGATAATTTGGCTACATACAATTTCCAAATAAACCTCCCTGTACCAAGTCACTTGTCTACTATCGTTTTAATACTAGTTAACTAAGCTAATGAATGTACAAGATCCAGGAGGTTTTAGGGTCATTCAATCATGGTTTAGATGTTTGAAATCATAGGATTTTTAATTAGTGGATGTTGACTAGCGGTTGAATCCAGGATAACGCGTATTTCGTCCTCTTTTGGATTCTTCATCTGAATGTAATTGCTTTCTACAGTGAGTTATGGTGTTCCCACCGAAGCTCGAACCCAGTGCCCGTAGTTTCAAACGCCAAAGCGTTATACAGTAGACCACCTGGGTCACGATAGCCCCTAACTCTTGTGTAACAGGTCAGATTAATTATTGGATTCAATTTTAGATTTTTCCGTCTTAAAATTGTACTACTTCTGTTCCGTATTCATTGATAACTGGCTACAAAACATTGAAATCCTGACACGATATTCCATTTTAAGAAGCTAACGCTTACTAGTTGTGTAACTGCTGTTTTTTGACTAAAAGTTGAGAAACCACGTGTTTTCTAAATAACTTAGAAAGGGATTGTATGCATGCAGTATGACATCTGTGTTGCATTCGACTTCCTGTCTTCACTTTTAGTGGGCTCTGTGATTTTCCACAAGCTTCCGTTTCATTTTTACTTGGCTTTCTTTATTGTCACTCTCTGACTTAAGCCCAACCCTACACTTCCTATTATGGTCAAACTCGAGGGTTTGTTTTTGATGTCACTTTAAAGTCTCCTTATTACACGTACAATCTATCTCCATTTCTTTCTGGATATTTGTTGGATGATAGGATTTTACATGGTTCTCTGAGATCTGGTCTTGGGCATCAAACAAAGGCAGCTGTTGGAGATGCCTTTGGTGTCTCACTGAGTCTGTCGAACATTTAGAAGCACTGACATGAATTAAGTGTTGAAACTTGCGATCTTGTCTCTTGATCACACACTAGTCAGTAACTAGTGTAATGTGTCTAGTCCTATCTTCGCTACAGACTGAATTCCATCAATCAGTCAGGTTTGCAATGTGGCCACCATGACAGGTGGCTCGCCATTGCGGTGCACTGTGAATTGTTCGTATTAGATGGTTGGAGGCTATCGGCCACAGGAAGCCTTGGACCTAGGTTTCGTGCTAGTTGACACTCATCAGTAAGGCGTATCTGAAACCTTGAAGGAACTCATGTTCCTTCTGAGATTCGAACCCGCATCACCCAGGGAGGGCTGCAGTCAGAGCTGTTAACACTCAGCTATTTGGGTTCACGATTAACCTCCAGTGGGACTGTATTGGATATTTTTGGTTGCATACTAGTCAGTAACTAGTGTAATGTGTCTAGTCCCATCTTCGCTGCAGATTGAATTCTATCAATCAAGTTTGCAATGTCTGATCCTGTTTCATCACTAAGTTTTAAAGTAGTTAACTCCTGCCCTGGCTTTTCGATCCTGGTTATGATATTCTCTGATTCGTAGGATGCTTGATTGTTACCTCGAAATTTTAGTAGGTTTTTGTGAGGATAATCATATAGTTAGGTAGTGGAACCAAAAGATAACATCACGGATTTAACCAGGGAGTACTGGATAGCTGTTTCATCCTAGGTTGGGATTGTTGGGCAGTATTCATTCAGTACCCCATGGTTTTCCAGTGGTTCTCTAACTGATATCAGCTCCTCTTCCGAACTGGAATTAATCAAACGCCTTCAAACCCATACTTCATAACATATAAAGAGAGAACATTTAAATTTAACCATAAATATACGGTGTAACACAGAAAGCACTTACTTTACTTGATGCCATATCACTGACAGATCGATGAGTCTGTATATTTTCCAGTCTTTCTAAACACCATTCAAGTTCTTCTAGAGTTTCAGTAGCTGTCACCTTTGCCTGTCCAGAAGAACCAATTTTGAGTTCTTTTGAAAAAAATTCAAAAAAAAGAAAGTTTCATAAGAAATAGTTCAAAATAAATTTAATTTAATGAGAGGAGTGGGATATCTGGCTTCAAGATGTAAATTCTCATTAGTGATGTTTTTCTACAGGAAAGAGTCAGTGATCTCTCATACCTATCCTCGTCTCTTTTCTAGGCTATCTGTCGGTTATTAAACCAGGCAAGAATTAGGAGTCCTTTGACCGGGAATCAAAACTCAAAATATAAGGCGTGACAACTTCACTAGTGAAAGTAATGCAAGGGGAGTGGAAGCTTGAATATGCCACTCATTTACAGCAGAATTATTGGCTATACGAGACTTGAAATGACACCTCTCTGCCTAAAAAGCAACGGATACACTCAGTCGCCTTTTCATGTGCAAAGTAAAATTGTTGCCGTAATTTCATTTCCAAAGGAAAATATAGTGAAATAATCGCCTTGAATTATGAAAGTAGCGAACTGATTTGCAAATTGGGAATTCGATTTATGGTATGACGAGTTCTCCCAGGCCGCTAGCCAGAAACTGGCGTGGCTTGAAGTGATTTGGCCTTCTGGGATGAGTCAAACCAGGTACACCCGTGATGAGCTTGGTCAAGTTAAAGAAGTTAAACCACTGTTCGGAGTTTAGATCGCCTCCATCTACCTACCTGTCTAGCAAGCACTACTGGTTGGTGTGAGTGGTATAAAACTACTCATATCAATTAATCAGTAGTTTGTAGCGTGATAGACTATTTTGAAACTATTAAACAAATGTTAGTAAAGTAGGATTTAATGGAATTTATCAAATTTTACTGGAATCCTTCAGCTGTGTATAGAAGAAAATACATAGATCGCACATAGAAAGGAGATCGTTGCTCTCATGATGGAACATTCGCCAAAATCGTTGAAGGCAGTTGAAGTCAAGGTATCAAAAAGTACAATAACAAAGCATCCTACAGACTATGAAAATTCAACGTCTTGATAGATCCCACAAACAGAAAGATGCTTGCACTTGTGGAGACTTATTCATAGAGTTTATGAACCTAGTCTCTGGGTACAGAAGCAGGTGACGGTCACTATGATCCTATCAGGGAAATATCTGTTACGCATTATTACTCCATCTCTTACTATTATTATTATCCTTGATTCAGTACCATTTGCTTTTATTGGTTTTCGTCATTATTATTGCGATTATTACTACTGTCATTAAGTTTGGAATTCTTTGTATTTTCATGGTCTTTTTCTGATAACCAATTGCTTTTTTAAATGAAGCAAGTGAACTGTGATGCGTTATTATATGAGTTTTAATCTCTCATAATCCCTTTCCACTTATCTATCTGAAAATGACCTGAAAAACACTCATACGTGTCGTTTTGTATGATTGATTCAATGTAGTTTATTTACTTAGATGTGATGATGAAGATTTGTAGCTCAGGTGGCTAATTTTGATGTAGTTGTGTCCTCTGAGCTTGTATTGTCCTACTAAGGAGAATCTTCAACGCAAACTCCAATTTGAAGGCTTCTAAAAATTCTCTAATATCTAATATTTGAGCGTTGTCCCAGTCGAATTGAAGCCAGTGGTTATCTGTATGCAGCGATATGAGCTAGGCAGTGGATGTAACGTCTTTTGACGGCTAGTTTATGATCATGGATACGAAGTGGAAGAGGACGTCCACTTTGGCCAATGTAGTGTTTTTCGAAGTTGTTACAATTTATTTTGTATATGATGTTGGTTTTATCTTCTTTCGTTGTTGAGTCTTTTGGTCGACATGGAGCCAGCTGAGTGTAGTGATTTTGTTGGTTTGTTTGTAACATCAGTTCTCTAAGAATTGGAGCGTCTTTCAGTGGTTTCTGAGATGTTATTTATATATGGTACGGTGGTTTTCTTTGTGCTTTCCTCGAGATGCTTTGAATTGGTAGGTTAGCTTGGAAGGGGGTAGATGTCTTTCGATGAAGTTGCTGAGATATCCATTCTTTTGGAAGACGTTCATGAGATACCTTTCTTCAATTTTCATTAGTGTGAGAGTGCTGCAATGAGTACTGGCCTTATTGAACAGTGTTTGTACACAACTCCTTCTGTGTGTCATTGGATTGTTGTTGTTGTTGTAATTAGGTATTAAGTTTATGGAAGATCAACTGACACAGACCAAATACTACACTACGCTGAGAACTCACCTCAAATTGAAGTATGCGCTAAAGATTTTGCCTAGTAGGGTAATGAGAGCTTCGCAAATTTGCTATCCAGCTCAGAGAACACAATCACTTCAAAATCGTGTACGAAATAGTTTACAGAATGCATAGATCATGCAGTGAGATGTGAAGTGAATAGGATTAACAGGATTAGTAGAAAGATTAAAACATTACATAGAGGAAACTCTTGAAAAATAATTACATTCAGGGAAGGTGCAAAGATTAAATCAACGAAATGAACGCTCAGCGTTTATCCTTCAATGGCAAATGTAGATGTAGAGACTACAGATACTGTTTTTTACAAAAAGGTCTGACATAAATTCATGAATAATCAAAATCTCTGTTGTCTTTAGAAGTTTTAAAGGAAGAAAACCCAGCAGGTTAGTATGAGTTTGATAGAGGATTTTGAAATCATAATCAGCGTAGGTTGAGTGCTTCGGAAGGAGTGACTATGGCTATCAAGGGAAGCTATATGTGCAGTGTGAGACGTGAAAATCCCACATTATTCTACTTAGTTCGATATTACCGTTCTCCACCACCTAGTCCCCCCATATCGCCCCTTGTCCAACCCAGACACACCCTGTATACGGTGATAGATGTGATACTGTTTGACCATCGTTTACTTTTTCTAAAATTGGCGTCTTTGTATATAAAGTGTCCTTTTGGCTACCTAGGCCTCAGTGACAACTTTTCGTTGGGTTCTCTGAGTATCAGAGAGGAGAAACTCACCTAGGCACGGGGAGTAGAAGCAGTGAGAGTTGGCTTACACGCAACGGCCTCCTCCACGTGGCGCCACTGGTGAGGGTTGAGTATACCTAGCTCAAGCCAAGTTCCGCAGCAAGCATGAACAACTTTTGCACCTGGCTAGTCAGCTGAGATGAACGTCGCTGGAAAAACCTTAAGGCTAAATGTGGACCTAGATCACTGTAAGGTTTGGAGAGAGGGATGGGATCATTTTAACCAGTGACTCACAGTTAGTGGGTAGTAATGGATGGCTCGGTAATCCTACTTGGCATTTGGCATGTTGGCCGGTCAGAAATGGACTGACGGTCGGGATCTTGTATTCATGAGGCAGGATACGTTGTGTGCAGTGCCCAAGGATCTTTGGTTAAATGTTCCAATGCTGTGATGCACGATAGGAAAGCACATAGGTTGTTCTGATTCATAAGAAGCAACTATTCAGAGGAAACTGTTCTGGGATTTTATTAATCACTGGATAAGCTTGCGTTGCAAACAAAAACACACACAATTTGTCCCTTGGCTCCAGTGTCGACGGCACTTGAATTAATCAAAGGTGACGTACGTAAAACTCCATTACAGCTTTTTCCACCCTTCCTTTTTCTCGTGTAAAATAACACTGAGACATGTTTTTTATTTGCCTACTAACCTTACGAATTTTATTAATTTCTCATTTCACTTTTCCAAGATCTTAACATTCTAAAGTATTTGTTTTGTTGGGATTTTTATTTGCTTGGTTGGATAATTTCATCATGAGCTGATATCAGTTAAAGAACCAGTGGAAAACCTGCAAGGAGTACTAGACAAATATTTCTTTCCAGTTTGGGACTCTTCAGCAGCACGCATACACCAACTAGGTACGAAGCCAGTAACTTCTGGTTACAGGGAGAGCTCGTAGGCCATTCAGCCACCAGAATCCAGGCCAGTAGCTCATGACGAAATCCTATAACCAATCAAACAGACAGATCCCTACAAAACCAATACTTGAAAATTGATCTGATGCTCACTATTCAGGTAGTTATCTGAGGTGTTAGTGAGAAGCCGTGACCAGTAGGGTAAAAAAGGTTGAAGATAAGGCTGTATCTCATCGGGGAAGACATTGCAAAGTGGTCGTGTTATGTCGTGAACTAGGGGGGGGGGAGATAGAATTCATGGGCTGGCCATTGCATCAGTTGGGTCCCAGTGGCCTAATAGTCTACGAGCTTGCTTGCCTTGTAACCAGAAGGTCCTAGGTTCGAACCGTGGGGTGGGAGTGTACTGCTGAAGAGTGCCAAACTGGACAGACGAAGCAGCTGGCTGTTCATTACTCCCTGCAGGTTTTCCAATAATTCTCTCATGGTGAAATCCTTCAACCAATCTAAACATTCTATCAACTATTTCTGTATATATAAATTGATTTTGTTTTACCATTTGGCATTGAACTGTGATTATAATGACAAAAACTGATTTTTCACATTTCAAATTACTATTATTAAAAGTATTCATTCACATCAATTGTTTAAATTTCTGCACTATATATACATAGTTTCTGAAAAGTCATTTATCTACGATTGTACAGCTTGATAGCAGATTTGTTGTAAATAATTTCTTCATTGAATATTGTGTATTACTCTGTATTCTGTAAAAACACTGGTTTTTCTGAATAGATCACAGATATCCACCTTTGTTTAAATACATACATACTTACATACCCCTGTTAAATACATTGAAACCAATTTAAATCTGTGAAATGTCTTCTAATTAGCTTGGATAGGATCTGTGCACATATGATGTATATATATATATATATATAGATATGGTACTTAGATAGCTAAAACGTCTTAACAATCGGTACAATCTGTCAGACATTAACTTTCTCACATTATATATGTATATGCATATACTTATGCAAAAAATATTCAGTTGGTAAGGTAACATAATTATATGACATTTACAAAGAATATGCTTTTTTCTGTTGGACAAAGTCATATTCAAAAAGCAGTGTGTGTGTGTGTGCATACACCGGGATGAACTGATTTCATATCATAGATTCTATCGATCCGTCCAATATTTATTCATTAGTAAAAAAACAGTTTTTTT